GTCTGCATCTAGGAAAAAACTAAATCTAATAGCGGTAAAAATAACCCAAGATAGTCAGACATTTATAGGAGTGAACTGGAAATCTTTACTACTCTTTAATGCTTCTAACACACAACACATTCTTGCATATAGGAAACAGTGGTGAAATTCTGAATTAATATACTGAAAATAGAAGTTGTAATTCTGCCAACTCACTCTTTGATTAATGTAGTTGCAGTTGGGTCTTTTTTCTTATTTAATGCTTTATAGTTTGTTCAGATGCAGAGTAATCCTTACTGTCAGAGTACTTTGACACAGAATATTTGCAGTAATAGTGTAAACCCACCTTATTGATAACAGCATCCTAGAAAAAAATCCCCTCCTAATAGACCTGATAAGGGGAAAATTTTTATTTCAGAGGTTTTGTCTTTGTTTCCCACCATACAAATCTATTTTAATTTGCAATAAATTAAACTAATTTTCTTCGAGTTCAATCTGTTTAACTTGGTAGTTGCTAAGTCATGTCCTCATCTTTATCTCAACCCACAACCTTTTTCTTCCTACTTTTTTCCCCTATTCTTTTGAGGAAAGGATGCAAGAGAGCTCCTGGATAGTCAGCTGAGGTTGACTCACTGCACTATGCTATGCACAATCACTCAAATTTTTGAAATGAGAAATTTTCTTCACTATTCTGAAATAAAATCTTAGCTTTCAAATTTCCTTCACTCTCTTCTTCAGTAAAATCAAAATGATTCACAGTGTTTATTAGAGACCCTAACTCTCTGAAAATGATACAATACAAACACACAGTTTGTATTGACATGCAGCCACAGCACTTTTCTTCCCAAGAAAAGAAACTTTTTTTTTTTTAGCTAGCAAAATATACACTTTGAAAGTTCTTTACGTAAGAATAGAAAGGCAAAAATGTATTTTGTGCCAGTGCTGACCCACTTTCCACTTCTCTTGTGCTAGTTACAGAGTTCTCATTATTTTGTGACTTCTCAGTTATTTTTTTACAGTTTCACTCATGCTGGCTTTTTGTATCTGTCTTTTAAAGCCCAGTCCTTGGGTACATTCTCCAGTCATATGCAAACAATTCTGAATAGTTCACTCAGACAAATCCAGACATGTCTACATGTTCAAAATCTATACAGTTTCTCTGTTTTTTTATGGTGTATTTATGCAATATTGACTAGCAAAAAGAATTACTGCTCAATGCTTGCACCAAAGCCCTCTGCTCCTTTATTTGTGCCTATACAGAGTTTAGTGTGATAATGCAATAAACAGCATGACTAAAATGACCCTCACTTAGAAACACTTCCCTCTTTTTCTTCTTTTTTTTCTTTTTCCCCAAGTATCAGAAAAAGACAGTTTTCATCCTCAATAAAATTCATCCTCTTACTTCCAGGAGGTCATTGTGAAAAGTAAGCATAATGACAAATCTAAGACATACTATTTTTCATTAACAAATAAAATCTCCGTACTGCTATTAAACATAAAAGGAGACAGATTCCAGTGGTTTAGTAGAAAAGAGGCATGCTGGTTACAGTGTCTCATTTCTGATATCATAGTTATTCCACACTTGAAATCCACCTTACATCTAGACATGGTTTTCCTTAATCTTTTTGTGTAAGCAGTAATATCTACAAAAGCTTACCAAGAAAATCCTACTGCAAATTTCTTTTTACAGCCCTAATTCCCTGATGTTTTTGAATTGCTAGTGTAATTGAGAAGGGATTGGAGTATTGTGTGTACTTTTCACTGCAAAACACTAATATTTCCAAAGTTAGAATGAAAGGGTATTTATGACATAGAAGTTACAGCCAGATGCTGCTGTCACTGTCTCAAAATGTAAGCAGACTGCATGAAATGGATTATTATGGCCTCTGTGGTGCATAGTTTTATTCTATTACAAGTAACTTAGAAATAATGGAAAATGATAATGATGGGATCTGTTCTTAATTGTGCATAACAAGGCAACCAGAAATGCTTAAGGAAATCAAAACAACAACAAAAGTAAATTAAAGATCTAGTTGCAGACTGCAGATGACTCTTACTTCTTACAGCATATTTTAAGTAAAAATTTGACAGGTTAGTAAACTTGCTTAGTATCTTTAATGATCTTCTGAGTAAGACTGCTATGATGGAACAGATTTAACTGGAAAAAAAAAATGTTTCAGGCTGTTAAACTGTAAAAGGTAGTGTAATTGACTAAACTGAACTGGATAAAAAATTTTAATACTTCTTAGGGGGTGTTTATAATTAGGTACATTAACATATATGTTCTAAACAAACCTGGACAGGACAAAAGGACAGATGAATGAAATCAAATTTTTGTTTTAGCTGGAGTGCTAATTTTCACATATTGCAGAGTGCTACACAAAAAGAACTGAAGAAAGGAATTCATAGTACAATCACTTTTAAGCCTCAGACATCAATGTATAAAAATCATCCACAAAATAGTTACATCTGCATAATCTGCATTGATCAGAATATAGATAGTTATAGATGCACACAACATGTATACAGTTTCTTGCTTATACAGTGGAACTAGAGTAAAAACCCTATGAAAATACTATTTTCCCATCTTGCTACCAAAATAAAAATAGAGTAAGAAAATTAATTTAATTAATTAAATTATAGTTACACTTGTATACCAAAACAGGACTAAAATGTGCTTTGAACTTTGGAGAAATTTCTAGCTTGATTGTTAAAGGACATTTTCAACATTTATGTGGTCTACAACCTATTACAATTTCCTACAGAAGGCATGTAAGCATTGTCAAGTTCAGTGCAACACTACTGATTTGTTACACAGTTTCTTGCTTTGTTCAAGGGATCATTTTTTTTTTAATTTTACATATGCTGTTGTTGTATCACTCATGTTGAAGATATACTTCACTGTTCCACTCTTAACGCTGAAGAACTTAACTGAAAGCAAGTTTTAAACAGATGTTTTTAATTGCTGCTAAATCCATACTCTACTGCACTATAATTATCAGAAGTTTTGCATAACTTACTGAGGAAAAACCCGCAGCAATTCAGTCCAAACCAAGGGTTGTCTTCTACATTTTGCAGCAATCCATAGAAACAGAGTCTTGAGAGATGATGTCTACATTGCATTGTTACATTATTTCTCAGAGATTCAAATCTCAAGGGACTTAGAGATCACACAAGTCTTGTCCCAGCATGACACTGCAAGTGGTACCTTCAGGACCAGTGTCCCACTGCATCTTTTACCCTCTTTCATACCCTCCAAACATTTGTTCTCCCCCAGGTAGAAGGTGCTTTAGAGTGGCTGCTAGGTTCCTGTCTTCAAGCAGTGCAGTTGCAACCCTAGATACTGAGAAAGATGTGCTTGTGTGTAGCTGCTTATGCCTGGTGTTCACTGTTCCTCCTCTAAAAATAATTTCAGCTTCCATAAGAGAAAGAAGTTTGACAATCAGAGCTGACTTTTGGCTACACCTTATTTAGGCTAAGTAATTTCACGGGTATAACATAGATGAGCAAATCTAAGAGACAGAAGGAATACAGGACATAGACTTCCAAGATGGCAGCAGAGGAAAAAGAGTCTTCCACAGTATGTTTGACTTGCTTTTCCAAGTTTGCCATAGTAAAAAGCCTACTTAGCAGGAGTTAAGTGATTTTTTATGGATACTGCAGACAGCCATAGTTGCAAAGTAGATACTGAACTTCTTGCATGGGTCAATCTACGAATATCCATGCACAGTTCTGCACTGATATTTATGTTCTGGCCAGCCTGACAGATGCAAATTAACCTACTGAAAGAAGACAGGTGAATCCCAGTGTCATGTCTTACAGAAATAACCAAGTGTTCAAAATCTTCTATATCAGGGCTCAGCACCTTATGTCTCTGCTTCTGGATCTATTCCAAATATCACTTGTGCCGTGGTTTGAAAACACATTGCCAACATGACTGAGGCTTTTCACATACCTGGGATAATTTCAATATATGCATAATATCTCTGAGGGACTTGTGGTGTACCCAAAGGTGATTGGGAGTGGAATCTGGCAGTAATTATCATTTATGACCACAGAGAATATAATCATGGCTATGGTGAATTACAGCCCACTTGGAAGCTGTGTTGTGAGATATTTGTCCTTTCCCAGAAGTTAACTGCTGTTTTAAGACATGAAGTGATGATATTGACTTCATTGTCCATGTCTATTTTGGTGCCACCCAAAGAAGGAGGAGATAGAAAATAAGAGCAAGATCTACACCACTTGCCCTGGATGCCAGATTACCTTTCAATCTGGTCTCTCAGAGGCTGCATCTGAAAGGTTGAAGTGACATGGCTTACCCCAATGTGTGCAAAATGGAGGACATGGACCTGATCTCCAAGAACTTCAGGGACAGAAAAAAACTGTTTAACATCTGACAGAAATTCTGTATAGCCTCCAGATTTGGAATCAACAGAACTCCAGAATCAACTAGGAACTTATTAAAGGCTGCTAGGAAGATCATTTAAGACCTGCCTTGGGATTGAATATATCTGTGGGTGCTTTTTGACATTGAATAATCTGAAACTGGATACCAAACATATGCTGTTGGAGCTTTAAAGGAAAAAATTATGAAAATTCCCACCAAACTCAGGCACTCCTCAAAATTGCTCTAATTAATCTGTACAGAGTGCTAATATTTTATCAGAAGTCATATAAATTTATTGATAAATACAATCCTTAATCCATAGATATGAATTTTTAAAATGATGGTTTTGGATCCTTTTATTCCAAAATAAAATTTTAAGATCCCATGCTAATACCTTAACTTCTCTTTTTGATAGATTTCAGACATCCTGTCAAATAAAGAAGGGAGCTGTATTTGAAATAATCAGAACTTGTACATAAAATTATTACTGCTATCATCAACTTACACTTTACCTTACTGGAAGCCTTAGCAATACATTGACTTTTTTCTTTTAAAAATTAGAATCTCCTCTCATATTTGAATTCTGTGATTTCATCATCTAAAAGGTAAAATGAAATTAAAATGGACTCACTTATTCTATTTCTCACTTCATTTAATTTCTCTCCAAGGCATTTAGCTTCGTCAAACCTGTCAATGCAAGCATAATTATACAGAATTATCCTAAAGAACAACTAGTTACAGAAGTTTATCACAATAAAAGAGAGAATTACTGAGTACTACTTTTTTATTTGTAAGTAGAACTAATTGGAAACAATTTTCCATTAAGAGAAATTGTCTGGTTTAAGAGAAATCATCTATAGGAGTCTTGATCTAGACAAAGTAACAAGAAATCCAGAAATTGTACTTCCATCTAACTCAAAAAATGTCAAAACAGAGTAAACACATATGGTTTCTCCCTACAAAGGCGGGATGTGAAAAATTCCCCCTTCTCAATTAGTCCATTTCTTCATAAGACTGGAACAGGTTAAAATTTCAAGTGCCTACATTGGTATCTGCTCACAAACTTTTGCTTTCAAGGCTGAATTCCACAAGGCTGAATGGCTGAAGCTGGAGGGTTACTGAGAACTTACTTTTTCTTACATAAAAAAGGTGGAAGCCATTGAAGCTTCTGTTAGACTTTAGAAAAGCTTTTTCTGCTGGGGTTAACTTAGAGCCCCGAGCAGGCATTATGGATTGTGTATATATCAAAGGGAAGAAACTCTGAAACACCTCTCTTCCTCTTTCCCTCAGGTCCCACAGTAAATTCAACAACTAATTATTAATTCCTGAGAAAAATCTCATGTTGGCTATTGACTGATTCATGTTCACAGAAAGATTTATCTGGAAAAGTTGAAGCCAACTATTTATCCAGCCTTTTTTCATAGGTTACTGCCAATAGTTGAATAGGTTGTGCATCTGTTTTTCAAACACCATAATTTATAAACCAGCACAGTAACATAAACTGAAATTTGGCATTAATTTATGACGCTTCACCAGATTCCATCTGTGAATGTGAATCCTAGTCAAACAAAGTAAGTTAGGTAAATACACAGGACTGACTCTAATATCGAATGGGGAAAAGATATTTCCAATACTTCTTTAATTAAAAAAAAAAAGGTAGCATTATCTAGCATTAAGGTGATATTGCTATGAATAGTGTTGAGTAAACAGCTATATTGTTAGCTAAAAAAAACTTCATGTATATCTTATGTGGAAACCACTCAACAGAAAGGCAAAATTGCCAAATCATGGCTTCTATTACCTACAAGATAAATACTCCATGATGAAACCCAGAGTGAATTTAGCCACTAATTTTAGTGGGAAAAGCATTTTGGCAAAGATTTCACTTTTTGAATGCAAATTTCAGTAATTAAAATATAAACATCTTGGAAAACAAACCTCTACCTCATTATGTAAACCAAGACAAACTCAGAGGCTGTCTAATGAGAGAGACATTCAGGGAACCAAATGAATAATCACTTGTTTTTAATTAGTAGAAATTACAACAAGTGACCCAAGTGAAACTCATCCATTCCATGAAACTTGCCCATATGTACTGAAAAAACAAGATAGCTGTTAACCAGCTAAAAAACAGAAAGCAAGGAAAGAAGAAATTGGAAAAAAATAATGGAGAACAACAAAAAGGAAACTAGATCTACCTCACATCTGTGAGCTCACTAGAATTTTACTACTGGAAATATTGACTAAGATGGTTTAAAAGTTTCATGCAGTATGCAATACTACATTGCAGTGGCACAACTGAAAAAACTGCTTGGTAGCATATTTCACCAGAAAACAGGATTCATTTTTCTCCTCCCCAGAGAAACAATCCTAAAAGAATATGACTGCATTAAGAAACAGGATATTATTAAGTTCTCTGGAAGTCAAGTATAAAAAGTCTGAGTTGTAGAAATCTGATTTTGTCCATGTATAAACACAGGGTGGTTACTTTTAAGCAAGGAAGTAGTTATTAATGAATGGAAGAAAAATTAAAAAGAATTGCCATGAAGCTGTAGAAGATCACATTTTTTTATCTCACAAAAGCACTTCCTGTAGGCAACTTGAAGGCAAATTGTGTCACTCTTGGACACTAAATTATTCACACAGATGCAGCTTGAAGTGAGATGAAAGAAGAAAAAGTTTGTTTGTTCTTTCAGTATTTATAGGTTTTTGATAGTCAGGTTACCACCTTCCCAACCACACCGGTTGTGAGAAACATCCATCAAAAGGCGTATCTTTAATGGAATGTATAAACACCTATGTTTATAGTTACTCTTCTGGGAAAGCGGCTAGAAATCATGAAAACAATATTGAAAGGTCTGATTCTCAGCATGACAAAAGTGAATCAATTTTGTTTCACTTGAATTATCTTTGACTATATCAGTTTTCCCACTTTTTAAATTCAGAGACACTACCGAGCTACAGTACAAGGTACTGCACTGTTGTAGTTGATAGCTTGAAATGTATCTTTTCCCATCTTTTTGTTGTGATTTTCCCCCCAGCTTCCCTTTCTCCTAATTGTTTACCTGGCGTCAGGTTACCATGGTTACTGAAGTTTCTCTCCTCATCTCCACTGCGAGAGGCCGGATAGAGTAAAGAGAAGACCCTGCTGGCATTTCCAGCTGCCTGAAGTTTCTTTGGCTCAGGAGACCCTTCTTTCCAACACGGAAGTTTGTAACTCTGTTTTTCCTGTCCCAGAATGCCTCTGAGCTATGGAAGCTGAGATGGCATGCTTACCTTCCCTTCCCTTTCTTTCCCCCCTGTGTTGCCAGGAAACCAGCCTCCCCCCTCTCTCCCCCTCTGCCCCTCTGTGGAGAATACTCCTACACCTTTGTGGGCATTTGAAGAAGTTGGTGCTTGTTATTTCTTATCTTTGAGAGGAATGATGACTTTGTCTTTACAAACAAGCTGTGGGTCAGTTGATAAGATGTAGCTATCAGTGAGAGACGACAGAAACAATGGGATGGATTCCAGTAGAAGATCAAAGAGGCACTGAAAGAACACTATTGTTATAAATGCAATGGCAGATTAAAGATAAAAAAGATAAATTTATTATAAATTAATAAAGCAACAAAACAGCGAGGAAAAACCACAATAAATGGACAGCGCAGCGCTGGGTGGACAGGGTCTATACGCAAGGTATAGGTGTTCCCAAATCCACGTCTGAGGGTTCTTTGGCCTGGGTTTTTATAGGGATTTTATGTCCCCAGGCTAGAATTCCAACCAGTTTCCATTCACCAAGTGTCCCTGATTGTCGGGTGAATGGATTTCCTGGCCTAGAACATTGAGTCAGTAAGTGTCCGGGCAGAGTCTCCTCAAATGCAAAGTGAGTCTGTATGTATTTTAACATATTTCATCACAGCAGAGTCGAGGGATCCGGGCTAGTGCCGATGGATATCTCGGAGGAGTAGTCTCTTCTTTGTCCTCCTTGATTGAGTTTCTTTAGCATAGGTTTGGCGGGTGTGGTGTTCAATTCTGGCAACGATCATTTTCCTGAGGCTCGTCCCTTTTGTCTTGCTTGATGGTCTCCAGGCCGAAATCGGCCGGGCGTTGCCTTTGTCCGGAGGTAGACTTTCAGGCTAGTTCTTTTGTTTCTATGATGGTCTTTGTCCTGTCCTTTCCTCCGAGTTGATGAGCCTGCTGAGGTTTGTTATCTGGGGGGGGTTCTTTTGCAATCCGTGACTTTGGAAAAGGAATTCTACCTCGACCTGGAGGAGAATTCCTTATTCCATATTTTTATTAGTTATAATTACACATACTTTATTTAAACCTTTTCTTCCGAATTTTTATTCACCCAATTCTTTATTACACTATGAATTCCAAAAAGTTAAGAAAGGATTATGCATTGGGGGTGGGGGGGAAAAGGTACCCCAGGTATCAGGCGTTCCGGGAAGCCTGTACCTCTCAAGTACCTCAGCCTATGGGGAAAGGGAGAAGGGACAAGCGGCCGGGAATTAGGATAAAAAGGAGGCTGCGCCCTCCAAAAATTTGAGAGATCCTAGGGGAATGCCCCATGGTCTCTCCCTTTATTCAAATAAAGAAAAAGGACTCCTCTGTCTCCTTTTTGGACATAAACCTCTGGTGTTCGTGGATTCATTTTCCTGACATATTTTTGGGGGCTCGGTCCAGGGTATTTCCACCGTCCGGGGCGGCGGGCAGCGAGCAGAGCTGAAGGCGCGCCTCACCCAGTTTTGGTGATCAGCTCCCCTCGGTGGCGGCCAGCACCGGGCGATCGATTGGGTTCCCGAGACTGTCCAGGAGACAGACGAGTGGCGGACCAGGGGGGTCCGTGAAGAGTCCACAGGGAAGGACCACTGAAAACCTCACCGGTGAGTAAAA